AGGTCCAAGTGAGGCCTCCCTGGTGGCGCAGTGGTTGAGCGCTGGGTTGCGAAGCTGCCCGCAGCCTCTGCAGCTCTGGTTCAATCCCAGGCTGCCAACACCGTCATGACGCGCAGACCTCTCCTGCCGCCCACTGCTCCCCTCAGCAGTGTACTTTGGTCCTTCTGCCTGCTCTGCTCCCTGCTCTGGCTGAATTCTCTCACCCTCCCGCGCTTCTGACTATACCCAGTGCTTGTATAAATAAATAAATAAATCTCAAAGAAAAAAAAAAAAAAAAGTCCAAGTGAGACAGGCAGGAGATGTGGAGAAAAGCATGAGTTTGAATTTCCTGATTTCCTGGATGCAATAGTTTTGTGTTTTAAGGGGTTTGGTCTTTACCACCACCAGGGCAGTGGTGATATGGGCAGATCTGTGCTTTAGAAAGAGGTGGGGCAATATATTGAAGGCAGATTAGAATGAACAAACCATGTCAGGAAAACCAGAAGAGGGCTGTACTAACTGAAGAGGGAATGGAGTCCTGAAAGAAGGCAGAGTGGGAGGAAAGGATTATTTTGGAAATGAATGTGTTTGCAACTAGAGGCAGCACAGCAGAGGGCACAGGAGTCAGGCTCCACCTTGGGTCTTGGGCAAATGGCACTTGGGTCTTGGCTTCCTCATCTGTAAAGCAATAGTGGCCACTATCTCATGGTTTTGATGTAGGGTTCCAGGAACTAATATAGTGTAACAGCTTACATTGTTTAGTACACATCAGTGTGCTAACAATAACCATGGAGCTCAGAAAAAAGAAATGACTAAGTTGACTTTCTCAAAATGTGATTCGTGGACCTCTGGGATTCTCAAGATCCTTTCAGGGGGACCACAAAGTCATCAAAACTATTTTCAGAATAAAATTAAGACATATTTTTCACTGTTAATGTTTGCTATGATGGCACAAAAGCAATGTTGTAGAGCCATCAAATTGTACTAATACTCATAGTGCCACCACTCTCCATTAAAATAAAAAGCACGTATTTACTGAAATATGTCCTTACTGAGGCAATAAAAAGGATAATGTAATGGGTGATCTGTTATTAGAGTTTAGATGGACTTTTTTCTATAGATATGTTTTGGTTAAGATGGATAATAAGTAAATTTAATCAAATGGGGGAAAATGTTTTCTTCCTCTCATATTATGTGTGAAATACTATCAGCTAGTCATATGCACTTTTGCTTAACTTCATATCACCCCTAACAATAAAAAGGTATTCAAAGAAACCTGGCTAGAACAGTTGGAGCAACAAGATAAAAGTACTATTGAATTATAATTCCAAGTATAAAATAAATATCCATGTGTGTATACTAATATAAATAAATCATTGAATGAGTTAATAAATGGGGGAGAAGAGACAAATTCCCCATGCAAGAGAAATCCCAATAAATTATATAAATACTTCACGCTAAAGGTAGGAGCATAACTCCTGACTTCTTAGGTACGGGGTGCACACAGTGGCCTTTTTCCAAAGAGTACAGTATGGAAAGGGGCGGGGAGGAAGTAAGTTAACAATCTAGAAACCTGACAAACACAACCTAAGCCCAGTGATCAAGGTCAACACCAAGAGTCATAAAGCATGATGGTAGTACTTACCCTTAATATTAAATGATCTAAAGAGCACTCTACCTCTGGTCTACTTGCAAACCGTAACCCAGTCTAACCACAGAAAAACATCAGAGGCATTCTAACAGAAAGGCATCCTAGAAAATATTTGACCAGCATTCTTCAAAACTGTCAAGGATATCAAGAACAAGGAAAGTTTGGGAAACTGTCATTGCCAAGAAAAGCCTTAAGCAAATGTGGTTTCTAAATGTGATGTGTCCTGGAGTAGATCCTATAGCAATGAAGACATTGGAGTAAGACTAGCAATAAAAAGACACTGGACTAGACTATACACACATACACACACACATACACATATGGATGAAGTATGAACTTTAGTTAGTAGTAATGCATGGATATTGATTCAGATGGTAATAAATGTACCCCACTAAAGAAAGATGACAGTAATAGGGGAAACTGTGTGACCTGGCAGGGGAGGACAGAGAACTGATACAGAGCTCTTTTCCCTGCTTAGTTTTTCTGTAAATCTAAATCTTTCCTGAAAAACATTGTTTATGGGGAAAAAAACCTAACATTAACTAGGAATAATTCTATCATTCATCTATCATCCATCACTCTAACTTGGAGATAAAAGTTCTATAATGGGATAGCCTAAGCTTGATTCAACATGAAATATACCAATGTCACACTATTATGCCTCAGAACTGCTGGGTACTGGTCACAAAAGAGAGGAACAAAACAAGGTCCAGAGTCTAGGTGGAGATAAGACTTTTAAAAAAAGATTTATTTATTTATGCATACAAGAACTGGGGTGTAAGCCAGAGGTGTGGGGGTGGTGGTGGTGGGAGAGGGTGAGAGGATTCACCAGAGAGAGTGGGGAGCAGAACGGGCAGATCCATTGAAATACATACACTGCTGAGGGGAGCAGCAGGAGAGGCAGGAGAGGTCTGCGGCACAATGTGGGTTGCTCCCTGCCCAGCCTGGGATGGAACTCCTCCTCCTCCTCCTCTTCCTCCTCCTCAAGCGACAGCTTCATGGTGATAGTGCTGTCTTTAACCCTTGCACCACCAGAGAGGCCCTATGAAAAACATTTTAACAGGGACTTATCGTCCTGTAAAGTGAGTATAACTGTACAGCATGGAGAAAAGGGTCTAGGAAGACTTCAGGAAGGCTAGTTATGGTGAAGAAAAGGCACTGACGCAAGAAATAAGTGGGCTAGACCCACTTTCTTTAAAACCTGTTCCTCTAGGTGTCTTCCTGCATTCCCTCCCCCCACCCCTTATTTCTTGAAAATGAGAGCACTGTGGAGACAAATATTTCACTTACCATGGTGTTTAATTTTGCAGGTATAATGGGAAAAACATACTTAGAAAATGCCAAAATTGCTAAAATTATTACAAGTATAAAGGAATTTTATAATTCAGTTGTTTTATTTAGGATCCCTAAAACTAACTTCTGTGGGTATAAACTATTGATAGTAAAAGGGGTGAACTGGAGTGAGATGGCACCGAACTACTTTGTGACAGGTACATATGCTAGAGGGTCTCTAGGTATATTATCAAATTTAATTTACAAAACAACCCTTGAAAGGAATATCTTGTTTCAGCTTTTCTAGAGGAAACCCAAGTGCAGAGGGATTTGATGATTTATAGCAGAGCAGCACTGGCTTCCACCTGAGAGGTAAGCCAGGCCTCCACTGACCAGGCGCTTGTAATATGGCAGCACTCACTGTTAGGTTCCACACAAAGCAGTCTCGGGATTGTTTCTAATTTCTCCTTTACTATGATTGCAATCTGTTGGTTTCACAGTCAGGGGCATGACCAAAGTACATTTCTAATTACAGTGTCTGGTTTGTAAGTTGGCCCAGTGCTGGGCACATATTACTCCAAGATTAATCCTACAAATGTTGACAACCCAGGTTTCGGTATATCTTTTTTTTAAAAAAGATTTTTTTATTTATATATACAAAAACTGAGGTACAGGCCAGAGTTGTGGGGGGGGGGTGAGAGGATTCACCAGAGACAGACTGGGGAGCAGAACAGGTAGTTCTACTGAAATACACTGCTGAGGGGCACAGCGGGCAAGTCAGGAGAGGTCTGCTGCGCCAGGTGGGTTGCTCCCTGGCCAGCCAGGGATCGAACTCGTGCTGCAGTGGCTGAGGCGAGCTTCATAGGTTGCGTCTTAACCCCTTGCGCCACCATGGAGATCCTTAGTATATCTTGATGATCAAATTCACTCAATCTCAATTTTGCTTACGTTCAGGTAATATTCGCTTGTCCCAAGACCTCCCTTTTCCTGCCATCAAGCTGTTAGATCAGAGCTTTACACAGCAAAGTGTTCTGAAGAGACAGTAAAAGGGAGGCAATTCCTGCCCCAAGAGAGCCATAAGCGCTATAAATGGTACGAAGTTTCTAAGGACAAGACTGGGCCTCTTCTGATTCTCTGTCACCTTGAACAAACAAGCCTCTTTCCTCAAGCGCAAATTTGGGAGAAAAACAATGACTTTGCCAGTCCCAGGAGACTGCTTGAAGAATCGAAAGAGAAAGTGTGAGGGGGGACTCTGCGGGTCCGAAAGCCCCGAAGAGCACTCGTCATCGCTAGGCTTCAGGTCCACTAGCACCTCACAAAAGGCGCGGGGCGCGGACCCCCAGTTGGTCCCGGCCGCCTCCCGGTGCATCTCGGGAAGGCCCCGGCCTAGGCGCGACCCCCGACTAGCCCCGGGGCTCGGTCTCTCGGCCCCCTCCCAGCAGCTCACTCCAGGGGGGAGCCAACGGGGTCTGCCTGCGGCCCGCGCGCGCTGCCGTGGGCTCAGGGAAGACTTCGCAGGGATCCCACACTCCCGGGTCTTTGTTCCTTTAGCTTCCCCCCTCGCCTTCAGTTGCTCCCCCCGCAAAACCTGTTTTCAGAACAAGATCGGCAAGCCCCACTTGGAGAAGTCCAGTCCTCCGGGGTGGGGGGCTGGTTACTAAAAGGCAGGTGGGGGAAACCTCAGTTTAGACTGGGGGGGGGGGCGAAATGGGAAGGAAATGCATCGGACCCGCCTTCCATTATAGCTCGGAGGCGGGAGGCTCCCTCCCGCGCGACCGCTTGCGCGGGCTCCGCAGGGCGCGCTGGCGGCGGGGCGGGGCGCGGCGGGGCGGGCCCCGGGCCTGCGAGGGGTGGGATGGTTCGCCCCCGCCGCGGGCCGCCGCGCTCCCGAGGCAGGGGGATGTTACCCCCGCGCCTTTCAGGCGAGGCCCGGGAACTGGGGAGAAAAGCGGGAGGGCGCGGCAAGCGCGAACGTTCCCTTCGCCAGGACCAGGGGGCGGGAGGCGTCCGAGTCGGAGCGGCGTGGCGCAGAGTGAGCCACCCACGGCAGGGCGACCCGCTCGGCGGGGCGGGGAGCGGGAAAACGGCCACTACGTACCTCGATCGGCGGACCGGCGCAGCGCACAGACGAGCTCCCCAAGCATGGCTGCTCCGGCGCCCGCGTGGGGGCCGGGGGCTCCGGCCCCGATGCGCGGCGCGGGACGCACGTGTCAGCGCGCGGCGCGCCGTGTTTACATTCCGCAGCCGCTCCACGTGGTGCCGCCGTCCCGGCCTCCCATTGGCCAGGCCGCCCGCGGGGGCGGGACCTGCCGGTCCCCGCGTCGCGTAGGAAAGAACCCGGTTGCCTGAGGCCTTGGCGGGACCGCCCGGGCGGGCCACGGGCCGGCCACTTCCCCGCCGCTCCATGCTCCCTCTAGCTGCCTCCGCCCGGCCGTCCGCCGGGCTGAGCCGCGGCCCCACGCGCCCGGGATCCCGGACTTGAAGGCGGGAGGGCAGGGGAACGAACTGGCGGGAGAGGCGGAAGCCCAGCGGCGCGGCGAGGGTCTCGAAGGGGGAGCTCTGAGAGGCCCCCTCCCGCTCTGGGTGGCGCGGGCAGGTGAAGTGCAGCGCAGGTGGCGGCGAGCTGAGGGCCTGGGCGCGCCGGCCCGGCGGCCCCTCGGGGTGGGCCGGCCCGGACTGAGGAGAGGGCGCGGCGCTCAGGCCTAGCCGGCGGGCGGGGGAGGGGAGCGCGCTGTCCCGAGGTGTCAGTCTCCGGCGCATGCGTGCGGGGCGGGCCCGGCCCGGCCTATATATTGGGTTGGCGCCGGCGCCAGCTGAGAGCCGAGCGGTAGCGGGTCTGGCGGTGAGGAAGCGTGGGGTGCTGGGCGCGTTGCGGGAGGAAAGAGAGCCCCCCCCCAAGTAGGCCCGTGCATCCCGCGGACGGGAGCCTGGCGGGGAGGAAAAATAGGAGGGCTGAGAACTGGGCGGTCAGAGGGGAGAGGGGTCCCCGCGTTCCGTCCCTGTCAGGACTCTTGGCAGGGGGCCGTGGAAGCGGCGGGGGCTGGAGGGTTGCCCCTTAGTGGGGGTCCACCGAAAAGTCCCCCATTTTCGGGACTTCTCTGTTCCACTCGAGTTGGGAAGCTAGCCCACCCGAGAGACGATGGGGATCTGGGACACCTTCTCTGAGATAGAAACTCCCGACCTGTTCAGTTTGCCCCTTTCTTTAACTTTTTCGCTCACCCCCACCCTGGCATCTGAGGTCGGAGTGCGGGTGCCCCTCCAAGGGGCCCGGCGGGGCTGGGAAGGAGGGGAGACTCGAGGACGTGACACCAGACTGTTCCCTCCGCCCCTTGCTTCCCCGCCACCGCCGCTCTCCAAATTGGCGCGGAACCGGCTTCTCCACAGCGTTTCGCCTCCACAACCCCCTCTCCCCGCGGCGCGTCCAGAAAGAGAGGGAGCAATTGGGGGCGCAGCCCAAGTCCCACTCTGGGTTTACCGGGAGATGGGGGACGCAGAATAGACCTTCTTGGGGAATATTTGCGGCCCCCCACCCCCACCCCGTCTGTGCGCTGGGGGTGCTGGTGCTTTGTACAAATTTTTGTAAAATTTAAACTCGCATCCTGGATGTACATTTAGTTGAAGAATTGCAGACATATGTCCAAAATTAATAGCGAGGTAACTAATAAAGTGCAGAATATATAGCACGTTAAAATGGCAGAGGCCAGGTCCTCAGAGATTTAGATTTAGCTGTGAGCCCCCGAATTAGAGTCAACTTGGCACTTGGAGAGCATGGATGGCAATGCATTTGACTCTAGTTTTTCTTCTCCCCCCTCCAGAGGTTTCATACACCTGAGAGAAGAGAATGTCAAGACGCAGGTAATATTATTTGTCTTGGAGATATTTCAGAGTTAGCGACTTTGAAATGCACGACTTACTAATTAAACTTCCTTTTTAAAAATTCACTGTAGTAGCCGATTACAAGCTAAGCAGCAGCCTCAGCCCAGTCAGACGGATTCCCCACAAGAAACCCAATTAATTCAAGCCAAGAAGAGAAAAACAGCCCAGGTGAGTTTTGGGAAGTGGGAGAGGAGAGGAAATTCCTTGCCGGGATCTTAGCTTGAAAACGTTTTTTTGTTTTTTTTTTTTCCATTTTACAGGATGTCAAAAAAAGAAAAGAAGAAGTCACCAAGAAACATCAGTATGAAATTAGGGTAATGCAGAACTAAGCTTCGGTGGGCTTGGGGGAAACAAATGCAGGACAAGGAAGAATAAATTGCTACTGCTTTGCAAGGGAAAATATTTTCTGACACTTTAATGCCCCTAGAGGTCAGCAGAAATACATTTACCTTTGGGTGGTTTGTATAAGCCAGAATCCTAAAGCTTTGAGTTAAGTTTGCCTTGAAGCAGCTGGTTCTTTGTAAATCCCTCTCTTGGAGCTGCCTGGTGCACCAGCGCCCTGCCGCCTAATTTGTCCACACACTGCTCTTTGTTCTGTCTGTGACTGTAGTGGAGGATCCTAATAGTTGCTCCTTGGGCATAAGTAGGATGCCAGGTCACTGACAGCATGGTACCCACTCTTTGCTAAGTATTTTTCCTATCTATTATATAGAAAACACTTTAGAGACAGCACTTGTTTGTAATCAGTATTGATTGGGACGAGTCCTTTAAACAATTGATTACACTTGTAAGGTTTTGCCTTCAAGTATTCTAAAGTGAGATTTAAACTGAAGGGAGTGGTAAGGAGGGTTATCAAACAAGCTGCCGCTGCCATGACTGCTGAATACAGAGAACTTCAGTTTTATAATCTTGAAAGTGATCATGAAAGATCCAGGACAAAAGTTGATTTCCTATTGTAGAAATAGTTATTATTTTTATTTTTATTTTTCAATGACAGAATTGCTGGCCACCTGTATTATCTGGGGGCATCAGTCCTTGCATTATCATTGAAACACCACACAAAGAAACAGGAACAAGTGACTTCTCCAGATTTACAAATTACAGATTTAAAAATCTTTTTATTAATCCTTCACCTTTGCCTGATTTAAGGTAAGAAAAACTTCAAAAATTTTATATCAATAATTACAATTGTGCTGGTTTAATATATGGTACTATTTTATCTTCTGTCTTCACTGTAAGATAGAAAAACTTGGTAAAAATTGCTTTCCTTAATATTTAATCATATAATTTTCTCAGAGAATAGTGCAGTTTGCAAATAACGAATATTTAAAACTGATTCTATTAAATTATTTTTATTTTCTTGCTAAGTACTATAACTTACCAGAACTGAACCACATTTTTAATGTGAGTTTAAATTTTAATGGAATTTAAGTAATTTATCTAAATTAAGATGGAGGCATTTTAACATATATAGTACTTTCATTTGACATATACTATCAACCCTTATTTCTTTCCAAGCTTAATAAGGTCTATACTTAATTTTTTTCCCCTAGTAACTGAGGTACAACTTATATAAAACATGTAATCTAGTAATTTACAGTGGGATTTATAAAGCAAATTAATGACCACAGACATTAAAACTCACCAATCCTCTCCTTCCCCATACTGTGTCCACTTACACCTAATGTAGTTAACTCTACTATTGATAATCTACTTGCAAATAATTGAAACTTACCTCTAAAGTGATCACACTTTAAATATTTAACTTTTTAATGTTTCTCAATAATAACCTTAATGAATTGTAAATAAATGGCAACTGGAACATATGCTTGAAATATGTCATTTTAGATTATCAGTCTAATTTCCTACTGTATAATTTCAGGCTTCTACTTTTACATGCTAAACAAATGGTTTCCACTACACAATTGTGCCAATTTTCTTTTATTAACAAATAATGTCTAAAGTTGAAACTAAACAAAGATTCTAGGGGAAAAAATGATTTCTGCAAATTAGCAATTTTTTCCCTAACTTAAACTCCTTTCATATTCTAACTGAACATTGGATTTCAATGTTTGAAAAGTTAAATTGTCTGTGAGACAAATAGCTTATATATGATGTAGCTAACCAAATTAATTTCCCCCCTTTTCATAGTTGGGGGTGTTCAAAGGATGTTTGGCTAAACATGTTAAAAAAAGAGACCAGATATGTTCATGACAAACATTTTGAAGTTCTTCATTCTGATTTGGAACCACAGATGAGGTCAATACTTCTAGACTGGCTTTTAGAGGTATGTTCCAGCAATATAAATTTCCTTTGTATGATGAAAAAATATTTATATGTAAATGTGCTTTTCTACACGCCCTCAGGGTATATTACCCCTTGCCAGCAGCCATCTTACACTAGTTGATGGTACTGAAATGGAATAGTGCTCATTCCAAAAGTAATAATAAGGATAAGCCACTACATCCCATACAACCAAATTTCAAAATTTCTTGTACCTGTGGGTATTGCTGTGTACCAGGTGCTGCTCTAAATGCGAAGTACACTCAGAAGAGCACAATGTATTTTTCACAAGGTTTTAACTTTTGTTGTGCAAGGACTTGGCTCCAGAACCCTCTTGCATCACCACAATCTGATTTGGAATCTTGAATTCTATGTCCTAAACAATACAGAGACTTTGAATATCCAAAAGCTCTAAGTTTTGTAGGCTCCATTGCTGGAGACCAGCTCTGGTGAACAGGGTTGAGGAGAGGCACTGAAAGAGGGTGGAAATAAAGACTGACAGACACAAAATAGAGCTTAAGAGAAGTGGGACCCTGGAATGAATGCAAGGCTCAAGTGTTGGGTGCAACTCATTTTTATTGATACAGATCGCTCCCCTTTCCTCCTTGTTACTGGCTGGACAAGGAATCACTTAGTATTTAGCCTGGTCCAGGCACACATTCATCACCAAGGTCCTGCATTATTGGGTATATTCTTCTTCCTTTCTAATGTTGTCTATTTCTCAGGAAAGGACATCGTGGTCTGGACACAGGCCAGTCTTCCAGTCACGACCCAGACCTCCTTGTCCCAGCACTTCATGCCGTAGAGGTCGCCAACACTCCATGTTGCTCCCTTTTATTACTTTCAGAAATACACTACCAATAACCTCAAGGAGCAGTAGTGATCCTGAAATCCCTATATATCTGTGCCAGAATTTTCTCTTGGTTAGGTCCATGCCCTCTCTCCAGATAATTCTAAATCTCTAAAATTGCTGAGGAAATGACTGTTGATGACAAAATGATTTTCCTGTAACTCTTCAATATTTGCTGTTTCCATATCTTTAACATAGAGATGATGCAATCTAAGAAAGAAAGACTATTAGCTTTTTGGTGAAGTAACACATAATCTCAGAAACTATCAGAAAAAATTTAAGACTATAAAATGTTCTTTTGAGAGTTATCACTACTCCTTTTTCTGACTAAAAGGGAAGATTTTATTTCACATAGATTTAAGAGGGGATTTGTGTTTTGACTTTCGGCATCTAATGATCATGAAACAACTTTGTCACAATTATGCTGATTTTTCTTTTATTGTTTGTTGTATTAACTTTTTCCAATGGTTGTCTAATCATATTTTTCCTTAAAGATACGATCCTATATGTAAAACCATATAAATATAAAACTAGCAGAGTGTTTAAATGCTTTGTCTTAGTATATTCTTTTAGTCTAGAAATACAAAGATGGTTCAATATTTGAAAATATATTACCTTAGTAGTTTTAAAGGAGAAAAATTATAAAGTCTCAAAAGATGTGACATTTGTAAATTCAACATCCATTCCTAATTTTAAAATATTGAGTAAGGTAGGAATATTTCCTTAGCACCATCCGTGCGTGTTTCCTCATCTTCAAAATGGGGTTAATGGTACTTAAAATTTCATAGAATTTTGTGTGAATTAAAAGCTTTCCCTACAAGTGAAAATGACAGTTACTGTTTACTGACAGTGAAGTAATAGGGAAATTTTCATTATAGTTACAAGGGATCAAAGATTTTATCCATTACCATTGTTATTTTGCTTTTTTCCACAGTTCTTAGCTAATGCAGAAAATTAAATGAAGTAAAACCATTGAAAGGAACACAGTTGTCATTTTGTAATTAAGTATCTACCTAGAATAATGCAGAGAATCTGCTGGAATAGAGTAAAGATAAACAGCAAGAAAATTTACTCATCTCTGCAATTAGGAAATAAAAGTTCTGAGAGTCAGCAAAAGTATTAATGTATCTGAAATATACTGTGTGGAAAAAAAACTAAGTAAGAGTTAATGAGAGTGTTAATTTTTGTTTTAATACAATTTTTTTCCCTCCACTAGCTAGCCATGTCTTACCTCCTGTCTTACCTTTGGAATCCTAAATAGAAAAATAAGGCTTAAAAATATTCCAAAGTTTGGTAGACAAGAGAACTTTCTAATTCAGAGGATACTATTTAAATGTTTGAATTCTTCTCTAGGTATGTGAAGTATACACACTTCATAGGGAAACATTTTATCTAGCACAAGACTTTTTTGATAGATTTATGTTGACACAAAAGGACATAAATAAAAACATGCTTCAACTCATTGGAATTACCTCTTTATTCATTGCTTCCAAACTTGAGGTAAGTTCTTAAACTTTATTCATAGGATTATAATCCCTAAACTTTGGTTATTTTAATCAATATCATCAATCCCAGAAATACTTGTACTTTTGATATTAACTCCTTAAGGAAAATGAATGGTTTTATTTCAATTCATTTTCTGAACATTGTGATACGGATGAAGCATAAGTATCATAGGTCTCTTCATTGTGTCTAAGCCTTTTGTAAGTCCTTGGTTTAGCTGCTGCAGTTAGTGTTAAGGCTAAATGTTCCATGACTCCTCCTGCCAAAAAATATACTAATGCTGTAACTATATACAAAATTATGGCACTGGACTCCATATTCTCGGGAAACTAATCAGCCAATGAAATAAATACTATACGGATTAAAAATAATGACCTCGATAACTAGCCTTATATTTTCTGTATCTGTCAGTGCCAGGATAGAAGGCAACGCCTTTCCTGAGATTTCCTTTACACAATCATGTTTGGTTTCTTAAACAATGTATTATGGGTATCATCAGTACCTTCATCTAACATTTTTGAAGCCTGTTTTGTTTGAAGGTAGGAGATTGAATCATGCATTAATTCCCTTAAGTGTATTTTTTTCCTTCTACATTTGTCTTTTGAACTATAAGGGCCATCTCCAAATTCTGCCAAATCTGGTAGATAAATTTGTATTCAATTTGCCTTATCTGATATCACACGCTATTTCAGGTATTGTTCTAGGTCTGAAAACCTTGATCAACCTCTTAAGTGGCAGCCACTTCTTCTATTCCTTTGATCATGCTAGTTGTTTTTTTACTCTGGAATGCTGACACTGACCTAATGTCAGCTAATCTACTCTACACATTTTCTTTTAAAGATGTATTTATGTATACAAGAACTGGGGGGTAAGCCAGAGGTATGGGGTGGTGAGAGGATTCACTGGAGAAAGAGTGGGGAGCAAAACAGGCGGAACTACTGAAATACACTGCTAAGGAGAGCAGCGGGCGAGACAGGAGAGGTCTGCTGCACTATGTGGGTTTCTCCCTGGCCAGGGATCGAACTCATACTGCAGTGGCTGCAGACAGCTTTATAGTGCTGAGACTTACCCCTTGCACCACCAGGGAGCCCCTGGTTTGTATATAGTTCTTTAGTTGTAATTTCAATATGCTTAATAATTTTTTTTAAAAATTCATTTTAAAGGAAATCTATGCTCCTAAGCTTCAAGAGTTTGCTTATGTTACTGATGGTGCTTGCAGTGAAGAGGATATCTTAAGGATGGAACTCATGATATTAAAGGTAATGATATCTTTATTAGTTTCAGTTGCAAATTAGTACCATAGTAGTTATTACTGAATCTCAATGACTACAGTATAGTCAAAACTAAGTTTTTTAGTATTAGGTCTCAATTCTAAGAGGTTAGTGCATCAAAATATTGACAGTGATATAATCAGGAGGAGAAATTAACCAAAATTTTATTTTTTTGTAACCTTTCAAGTTTCCTATATTGAGAATATATTTTACATTTTTATTTTTTTTTTAAATTTTTTATTTACTTTTTATAGAGGCATGTTTTATTTATTTGTTTCTTTGTTTGGTTGGTTGGTTATACATGCACTGGGTACAGTCAGAAGCGCGGGAGGGTGAGAGAATTCACCAGAGCCAGAGCGGGGAGCAGAGCAGGCAGAAGGACCGAAGTACACTGCTGAGGGGAGCAGCGGGTGGCAGGAGAGGTCTGCGCGCCATGTGGGACCCTCCTCCGGTGGCCGGGGAGCAGCCGGGGATCGAACCGGCGCTGCAGAGGCTGCAGGCAGCTTTGCAACCCAGCGCTCAACCGCTGTGCCACCGTGGAGGCCCTATTTTACATTTTTAAAAAGATTTATTTTTATTTATGCACAGTAGAACTGGGGTGTAGGACAGAGGTGCAGGGGGGTGAGAGTATTCACCAGAGACAGAGTAAAGAGCAGAACAGGCAGATCTACTAAAATACATTACTGAAGCGGGGAGCAGTAGGTGAGACAGGAGAGGTCTGCTGCGCCATGTGAGTTACCTCCCTGGCCAGGGATTGAACTCAGGCCATAGCCGTGATAGCGCTGAGACTTATCACCTGGGCCACCAGGAAGACCCGAGGATATATTATTTTAATTTCAATGTAAGAAAGAACATTGTCAAAATACTAGTTTAACATAGAATGTGTATAGAAATGAATTCTAACAGTGATTCTTAAATCGTAATTCTGATTTTCCCCTTTTTTCAGCAGATAAAAAATGAGTATTTTAATGCCATTTTTCTTTCTACATATAGAGAAAAGGGTATTACCAGAAGAGAGCAGGAGAGAAATATAAAGGTGTTTAATCAGGTTTTGATTAGAGATCAATGTTCAGGTAATACAAAGTATTATTAACTTTGGATACCATGGATTTATAAATAGGACACATAACACAACCAGTGGCTTTCATTTACAAACTATAAGCTATAAATTGTTTATAAACATAAAGATTTACAGTAACACTGATTGACAGCTCTCTCAGACTGTGATCTTGTTGGCCTGTTGATCTTGTTCTAATAATGAAATTATCCAGATTCAACCTAAGTATAGCTGATTACAGTAAGATGATGTAAAGGAAAGATGGAATTGTCTGGGTAGTCCTACAGGCATTAAAATTTTCTGTTCTTTCCTAATTAGAATTCTTATAAAACAGGAAAGTCCCAGGGGTTTAATGGAGGGAAAGACACCATAAATTAGGATTTGTCTTTAACTTTTAGCTCTTGACCAAAAGCCAGTAGAGATCACAAAATAACATCTAGAATCAGTTCTTGGAAGACATGAATGTAATCGGCTGTGAAGTCACTGAATACAATTAAAAGGGCATTTTCAGTAAGGTGGTGTGCAGACTTTGGAAACCAGGAGAGATACAAGAAATTAGAAAAGCAGGAATGAAAAATAGGCTAAATGAACTCTGTAAATAAGGCAATTAGAATAATGGGGTCCACATCAATGACTAAAACACAAGCAGTTTTAGATTGTTAAATTTTAATAAAGATAAAAGCAGCCATATTTATAAAATCCCTAGGAAGAAAGAAGCTTAAAGCACTAGTTTCTTAAATGACTACTTAAGGTAGCTATATAATGTGATTTATCATACCTCATTTATTAACACACATTTTAATTTTATTAACAGGCTTTAAAATGGGAACTTTGCCCTGTAACAATCATCTCCTGGCTCAATCTCTTCCTCCAAGTTGATGCTCTTAAAGATGCTCCTAAAGTTCTCCTACCTCAATATTCTCAGGAAAAGTTCATTCAGATAGCTCAGGTATGAACATTCTTATTGAATACATGCTAATGTTACTGTTAATTACAACTTTGTTTTGTGTATAGAGCATCTTTTAAATAAGCTGTCCAATAAGATGACAACATACTAAATTCACTTCCTGGCTAGAACAAAGTTTTTGATACATAAAATTCTGCCCCTGGTATTTACATTGCTACATAATTCTAGAAAACAAAAATTTTAAACTTGGAATTTAGAACTAGTGTAAATACTTTCCATCCTTTAGGAATCCAAAATAGTTAAATTTTTATGATATGAATTGGGGAAAGGTATTTTTCAGCCAGTTGTCTTTAGATTTTATAGTGGTATGAAATTATTCTGTATGATTATCTTAGTCTCTTTACATTTGAACAGACAGGGCAACTATTTTACATAAAAGAATTTGAATCACCTTATTTAGTTACAGCTTTTTAAAAAGAATTTAAGAGGAAATTAAACGTTCCTAGGCCAACATATAAATCCCAACAAAATGAGAATACCAATCTCCTGCCTGCTTCTCACTAGTATGGCAAGGTTGCTATACCTACCTTCACATGTAAGTAAACATCTAGATTCTCAATGTAGGAAGTGAAAATCTTACATATGGAATTAGGGGAGCTGCACCTTAGGTATTGCAATCTAGATTGGAACTTGTCTTTTTAAATCTATTAAGCACATTATGAACACTAAAAGAACCTGGGTAACCAGGTAAATACTGTATTTACTATATACAGTAAATATATTGCAATGAATTTTGTGAAACAATGCTATTTTGTCAGTTTCTAGCATCCCAGATTATCACAGGCAGCTATAGATCCCTTTAGATAAATATGGCCAATCTTTGATAAGATGACAGAGGTATGTAATAGTAATAATTCATTTCGGCTCTTCTGTTTCTACCTTCTGGACCAATGAGAGAGAACATAAGTTTTATTTACTGGACCCATATTACTACTAATGTAGCCCTTTTGTGCCATTCCATTACTTCTTGTTCATTTCTTTTGTTGACCCAATTAAAGTGCCTCTTAACTAATCTTTCTAGAAATGTCTACTTTTTGTGTGACTGCATCACTATAGAGGGAGGGACTGTTCTGAAAATGTAACTTTCCTTATTTAAAGTTCTTCCAGTAATTTCAATAATCAGCTTAGAGAATAAAGTTCTGACTTCTTAAAGATACTTTATGATGTAATGTAGGCTATGCCTCTCCAGCTCCCTCCTTTTTCAAAAAATAATGTTCTTTGCTTTTTTTCATTTTAGGTATTCTGAACTATCTTAGTTCCAAGAAAAAGTTAATACTTTCTCATTTATCTTTGCAAAGCTATAGAATGTTCTTCACCTTCCAATCTATTTTGTCTTTTAAATACTCAAAAACAGGGCGTCCCCTGGTGGCACAGTGTTTGAGCGCTGGGCTGCGAGGGTCCCACAAAAATAAAAACTCAAAAACATCAGAAGTCTTCTATGTCTATCACTTTGGATTAGGTGCCCTCCCACTAGTACACATCACCCTACATCATAATACTCCTTTATCTGTTTACTTCCTGACCTGCAATCCCAAAACTTATTTTCTTTAGGGTGTTGGTTTATTTATCTTTGGATTCATGTAGTTTTAGCAGTTCCTGGCAAATGGTCTGCATCATAAACTTTCTAAAATGTGTTAGCTAACTTTTATTTACTAAGGACATGTAGTACTCACTCTTATAAATTACTTTTGCTTTTTCCTTTGTTAGCTTCTAGATTTATGTGTTCTAGCCATCGACTCATTAGAGTTCCAGTACAGAATACTGGCTGCTGCTGCCCTGTGCCATTTTACCTCTGTTGAAGTGGTTAAGAAAGCCTCAGGTAAGACACTATATTATCTTCTTGTTTACAACTTTTAAAAGGATTATAATCTATGAACTTTAGCATCCTGCTAAACAGGAACTTAAAGCTTCAACAGAAAAAAATTCAGCAATTACCTTCCTTTCTTTTAGAAGTATTAATTCTAAGAATACAACCACACACAGTGTCAAATGGAATTTAAATCCATTTGAAGTGAGTCGGAATGATTATAGCTCTAGTTTAAGAGTTCTTTGGGGTTTGATAACTTCAATTTCATATGTAGAAGGTACTACTTAAGAAACTGAGTCTCCTTCAAATAGTTACATTATAAACAGTTCCTTTTATAAATGAGTTTAAAAATAATCATCTTAAAAACTGGAGGCATTGTAAAAAAAATGAAAAATGCTGTAATATAAACTGGAAGCAGAAGCAAAATACATTAGATATATGTAACCTTCATTTTTATGTTTTCATTTTCATTCAGCTTATTTCTAATGTGAAATTTTTACCCACAGGTTATTTTAAAAATACTTTTCAAATACCTGATTGCTTTTTTTTTGATTTGTGTTGTGGTCAAAGAGTGTACTTTGTAAAATTTCATTTACTTCTCAAGTTTTTTTAAGGCTTGTCTTGTGACCCTGCAGATAGTCTTGGTGTAATGTCTATATGAAGTCTTTATTTTGAACTTAAGATATAGTTTGTAGTTTGGGCTAATGTGGGATTTGGGGTTTATAAATGTCAATTTTGTTTAGTTGTTTGATAGTATTTACATTACCAGCTTTGCATCATGAATTTTAGTGATCACTTATTAGATGCATATATATGAAGATTGTTGTCTTTCTGATGAAAAGTTTCTTTTATCATTGTTATAAATATCCCCCCTTTAGCTCTTGTAATGTTTTGAAATATACTTTGGTGCATATTACTTTAGCCATGCCAGGTTTTTTATGGCTTGTATATTTCCAATCAAACTATAGCTTTATCTTTAAAATGCATGTGTTAAATAAAGGTAGTATGTATAGGTTTTGTTTTTTCATCATTCTGATAATCCATTCTAAATGAGTTTTTTTCTTTTTGCAACATATATGCCAAATGGGGATGGGTTTAAACACTTAAATACTTCACATTCTTCTAACTTCTCTATTCTAGGTTTGGAATGGGACAACATTTCAGAATGTGTAGCTTGGATGGTGCCTTTTGTAAATGTAGTAAAAAATAATAGTCCAGTGAAGCTGAAGGTATTTAAGAAGATTCCTATGGAGGACAGACACAATATCCAGACACATACAAATTATCTGGCTATGCTGGTAAGTTTTTTGGTCTTACTATGTATTAAGTCTCTGAACCTGATAAATTATATAGTAATATTTTAGGCAGTTATGAGATGATAAAGGGCAGAAAGTTCTAATGGACACATTGAAGACAATTCAAATTATTGAGCCTCTAAAATATGACCAGACAGTTACAAAGACCTTTAAAGACCTAAAAAATAAAAAGCCAATAATATTAGAACTTCATTGTCTCAAATTAATAACCAGAAGTCTGGTTTGACTTTGTTATAGCTGTTAATCTCTGTATGGTTTCTTCGCATGAACAGGATGAAGTAAATTATATAAATACCTTCACACAGCAGGGACAGTTGTCACCAGTGTGCAATGGAGGCATTATAACACCACCGAAGAGCACAGAGAAACCACCAGGAAAACACTAAAGTTATCTAAACAACAAACTGGAATTGACTAAGTATTGGGCAGAATTTCACTTAAGTACTAAAGTTTTACAGGAAAATAGTGCTATGACTGTCCTAGCCGATTCAGAAGTTTCACTACCATTCTTCAATTGAAAAATCATTTAAAATTGCATTAAGGAAGAAATGTATTCCTATGTTAGCTGTTCAAAGAAACAGCAAGACCTGTTTACAAATATGACTTCATTCCCACAGTGACTGGATATAAGCCAGTTATAATTTACGCCATAGCAAAAAAAAAAAAAAAAAATTTAGGGGGCGGAGATCAAGTGTTACTGTATTTATCTTGATAAACTAGCCATTCTGTCATTGGAGTTTTGGACGAAGGTGCTATCTTAAAGGGAACATTAAATGGCACAATACTTGACTAGTGCAATTTGGTTCTGGAGAATGAAATTGATAATTGTTTACAAAGATTCAATTTTGTAATAAGGTGACTAATTTATCTACAGCTGCTGTAGAGACTATTATAAAACTTGAATTTTTACAAAGGGTGAACTTTAGTCTGTCTTTTAACTAGTTTATCTGCCTTGCCATAACATTTTTTTTTTTTTACCAGTAACGCTTTAGATGAACATGGTGTTTAAACTGTGCTCTAAACAGTGGGAATACCAAAGAAATTATAAACAAGATAAATGCTGTGGCTCCTATTGGGGACTTTATTTGACAAAGTTGCTTTAAAATAAGCCTTTTTGTATATCACAATTTGGGTGTCAAATCTAAGTACCCTTTCAAACTATTTATATGAAAAAGTCACTTTATTACTCTAAGATATCCTTAAGGATTTTTTTTAATTTAGTGTGATTAAGACTATTTATATTTTACAAAACAGTTAAGGTCCTTTTCAAATTCCTACATTATTAGTTAAGGACAGTGTCAAAATGATTAGGCTTACCACTTGACCTAAACTTCTATTTTCTTAAGACAGAAATGTATTAAATGTATACTGACTCCTAGAAATCTATTTATTAAAACAAAAAACTTGACATAAGAATTTGCTGTATATAGACTAGCTATTTTATCTACATAAATATATTAGTTTTTAATGAATTCCAGCCTCAAAAATGGGCGTAATTAGAAAACAAAATTATACTAGATTGCTAGTTTATTAACAGATATGACTGTTAATTTCTTCTTCTTGTGAAGAAATTATAAATTAAGCTATTATGGTATTGTCTTCTGTTTAGTTATTGTTTATGAACTAATGTTTTAATATTTTCTCTGGAAAAAAAATACACCACTAAATGTATACATATGTATTATATAAACTTAATCTTTTAATACTGTGTACTTTCAGCCCATTGTTTAAAAAATAAAGCTACTTAAAAGTAAAGTTTTGCCATTGCCTGGAGAAACTTCTTCTTCCTTCTCTGAGCTGCCAGCTGTAACACTTCTTCTGGGTTGCTTGCATTCAATTCTGTCTGGCCAATGGCTTTGATCTTCCAAAACAGAAAAATGATGTTAATTGGAAATCTGGTTAAAAATAGTCTTGGCTAATATACATATTATAAAACTACATGCTGAGAGGAGTTAACAAGAGTGACCAAAAAAAGATTAATTGTTGAACATGTAATTATTCAGTAACTAGTTTCCTTTTCACTAAAAATAAAATTAAGCCTATAAAATATTTTCAAAAATCAATTATATTTCAGGGTTTATTTCAATATGCAAAATAGCTAGTTATGCAGTACTATAATATATAGTGACTCAAATTCTTTCATGACTAGAAAGATACATGCCTAGTAAAAATCCATACTATTATTCTGCCACACTGTTCAGTGAGAACATAGTTTAGGACCTCTCTAGATTAAAAAGGTAATCTACCTTTCGATTTAAAAAACCAAGTAGGTTTTCTTTAGATTTCTGGTATGTAGCCTGAAGGGAGGCTATTCAGAAATGATCATCACATACAAAAAGTTGGAGAATTTCTGGATACCATTTCATTCAATATGAAGGTATGTATGTGGGAAAAAGCTGGTAGTGGAATATAACTGAAGTGTTGAAACCTAACTTGAAGATAACTAATCCACAAAAGCCCAAACTATAAGACAGAAGTTGGAATAAGAGATAAAAGGGGGCCTCCCTGGTGGCGCAGGGGGTTAAAGTCTCAGCACCATCCAGCTATCACCAGCCACTGCAGCATGAGTTCAATCCCTTTCCAGGGAGCTAACCCATATGGTGCAACAGACCTCTCCTGTCTCGCCCACTGCTCCCCTGAGCAGTTTTTTTTTTTTTTAATATTTATTTATTTGTTTATTTGTTTGTTTGTTTGTACAAGCACTGGGTACAGTCAGAAGCACGGGAGGGTGAGAGAATTCACCAGAGCCAGAGCGGGGAGCAGAACAGGCAGAAGGACTGAAGTACACTGCTGAGGGGAGCAGTGGGCGGCAGGAGAGGTCTGCACGCCATGTGGGACCCTCGCCCAGCAGCTGGGGATCGAAGCGGTGCTACAGAGGCTGCGGGCAGCTTCGCAACCCAGCGCTCAACCGCTGCGCCACTGGGGAGGCCCCTCAGTGTATTTCAGTAAATCCTCCTGTTGTGCTCCCCACTCTGTCGCTGGTGAATCCTCTCACCCCCCAATAGGAGAGGTCTGCTGCGCCATGTGGGTTAGCTCTCTGGCCGTAGTGGTTAACAGTGCTGAGACTTAACCCCTAGGCCACCAGGGAGGCCCTACAAACAGATCAATTTAAAGATGGAAGGACTTGAAATTGGCACTCCCAAGGGCCTCCATTCCCAAGAATCTTGACTTTGTCTTTTTTCAGTCTTTTTTCCAAGCATAGGTATAGAAGTTGCTGAAAATGGAAAAAGGAGAGGACAGTGGGTTGAACAAAGAAAAGTCTGTCACTGACTGCTGACAGGTAAAACAATTTGAGGGGCCAGCTAAAGCTGGAGACCAGTGTGTATGGTTGCAGTACTTTTTCCAGCAGAATTCAATGGCTCAGAAATAGAAAAGAACATAAATTACTGGGAAATTTGTCTTTGCCTTCCAGCCTCAAGAAAACTGGAAATGTTTTGAAAATGATTGGTCTCTAATCACATGGAGCTGACTTTGTAATCTTTTTCTTTTTTTTTTTTTAACAAAAAACCTGTTATTCTGGTTCCCCTAAATAATGGTCATATAATTTAGTCCAAGTATAAAGCTTTAAAAGAACTTAATAAACAGCGTATACTTTTATTAAAAAGAGTGAAAGAACAAAGGGAAAATGTTTAGATAGTGATACTAATGCAGCAAATATCAGACAAGTAAAAATAGCTATAAAATTTATAAATGTTCTGACTTACAAGTTAAATCTAAAGAATTTATCTTTTCAATAACTACTGAGTATCTATTAACTGCCAGGCACCATTACTATTTGCTCTGACAAAACCACATGGGGAAAAAGCTAATAAACAAATATATAATACATCAGATGTTGAGAATAGTTATGGAGGAAATTTTTTTTTTTTTTTTTAAAGATTTATCTTTATTTATTTATTTTTATTTATTTATACAAGCACTGGGTACAGTCAGAAGCGCGGGAGGGCGAGAGAATTCACCAGAGCCAGAGCGGGGAGCAGAGCAGGCAGAAGGACCGAAGTACACTGCTGAGGGGAGCAGCGGGCGGCAGGAGAGGTCTGCGCGCCATGCGGGACCCTCCTCCAGTGGCCGGGAAGCAGCCGGGTATCGAACCGGCGCTGCAGAGGCTGCAGGCAGCTTCGCAACCCAGCACTCAACCGCTGCGCCACCGGGGAGGCCCAATGGAGGAAATTTTTAAAGGGAAATTAGAATCCGCTATTGCAGGAAAAAAGAAGAGACTGGTATTTTTTAAAGATTTCAGCAAAGGATGATGATAATATTTAAGAGACCTGAGGAAGTTAAAGAAGTTCCTAGAAGAAAAAATTTTTAAGGCCCTCTGGTGGTGAATTTTCTTAGCATATTCAAAGAACAGTAGGAATTACTGATATAGCAGACGTTAGCAAGGGGGGAAAAGATGGGAGCCAGAAGTCAAGTCATACAAGATGGTCTTCTAGCTCACTGTAAGGACTTTGTGACAAAGAAACCATTTGAAGGTTTGGAGTAGAGAAACGACGACTCAATTTTAAAAACAGGAAAGATGTAAGGTTTCATTAGCAAATACGACCTTTTACAAAGTAAATAAGATAACTTAATTTTGGTGTAACTACACACACAACATGTTTTTTGTTGCTGTTGGTTCAAATCTCAACAGTTGTTTAATATTAGAGAAACTGAATACACCACTGAAGAAAGGCATAAAGTAACTTACCGCAATTTGTCTTTTATCTGTTTCTCCTCTTTTATGATGAAGATCTAAATGAGTCAGTTAAGAATGGTCCAGTACCATTAAATACCATGACAGAATCTCAACTTTTTCAGTTGCTTTAGAAAATAAACACTGTTGAAAACTTTCTTACTTTACAGAGTGAACTGCTATAATACCACATAGGCTGGTGAAAGGATACAAGTCAAGTATTCCAAAATGGTAACATCCCATATGTAGTCATAGTAGGAGTCCATAGCATCATGACTGAAAATAGAATTCAGTTACTTCTTCTTTCTTAAGCATAAAAACTGCAATTTTTTAAATTGAAATAGCCTTCATACCTGTTTTGCTCCTGTAGTGACTTAAAGGCTGTTTTGTAGTCAATTTCTCTGAGGAACTGACATAAAATTGCCACCTACATAAACAAAGATTTGAAAGTCATTTCATATAACTTGCATCAACAGTGACTCATAGTTTTGAAGGGTTCATTTTTAATGATTGACATCAAGAATATATTATTTATGAGGCCTTACAGGTCATGTTGAGTAGGTTTCATCCAATTTTAATTGCAAAAACCTCTAAATAAGTTTCTGCTCAAAATTTGCTTCATTGATGACCTAAATCCTAAATATTTGGAGTTTTATATGTTTAAATAAGCTGGCTAAAAACACACGCACATACACACAAACAATTCAAAAAGATAAAGGAAGTGCAAAACTGCCAGGCAAAAGTATCATGACATTCAGTGACGTACAGAACGTGCGAAACTATACACCCTTCATGGCTGGCCAAGTAAAGAAACTCATTTTGACAAAATTTAGATGGCCAGTTTTGTTAACACAGAAAACATCTATTTCAATCAGGTATATAAGTCAGAATACTGGTAGCTTTTAAAGACACTTTTTCCCTAAAACTGTTATAATATACTAGAAAAATTCACTTTTGAAACTACACTTAAGTAGTTTTTCATGTAGTCACAAAGTTTTACAACTATCACCATTATCTAATTTCAAAACATGTTCATTCCCTGGCCCATCCAAACTCTGAACCCTTTGCAGGTGACTCTCCATTCTTCCACACCCCAGTTTCTGGTTATCACTAATCTATACTGTCTCCAAATTTGCTTGTTCTGGACATTTCATATGAATGGAATTATAAAATACAAAGCCTTTTTTTGTATTTGCTTTTCTCCCCCAGTATAATACTTATACAGTTTTTAATCGTGTTGCACCATGAATTAGTACTTCATTATTTTCAATGGCTGAGTAATATCCCATTGTATGTTATGATGTTTGAGTTAACAACAGACCACATATACAACAGTGATTCCAACAGGCCATACCATATTGCCTAGCCGTGTGGCAGGCTACCCCATCCATCTAAGTTTGTGTAAATATACTCTATGATGTTTGCACAATGAAATCTAACAAAGCATTTTCAAGATGTGTCATTAAGCAACACATGACTGTACCCATCCATTCTGCATTTGAGTTTTTTTTCCCACATTTTAGCTATTATGAATAGTGCTGCAATGAATATTTACAACGTTTTCTATGGACTTGTGTTTTCAATTTTCTTGGTTATACACCAAAGCATGGAATTGCTGGGTCATATGGTAATTGTTTCATTTTTTGAGAAACAACCAAAGTATTTTCCAAAGATGTTGTCCTATTTTACATTCTACCAGCATCATATGAAAAGCTCAAATTTCTCCATATCACTGACATGAGTTACTATCTCTTTCAATTACAGTCATCCTAGAGGATGTCACGTGTATCTCATTTTGGTATTGATTGCATTTCCCTAATGAGTAATGTATATATCTACTCTTAAACATAAGAAAACATTCTGAAGAATGCTCCTTTCCACTTAGAAAGTTCAAAGACTTATTTTCTAATTCATACTTTCATTTTAGTTGAAGGTCTATTGATTCTAAAAAAAATAAAAGAATATGTCAAACACTCAAACATCATAAATTTAAGCAATTATGATATGGAAAATTAAGAACTACTTGTCAGTCCAATATTTACATATATGTATTATAACTAACATCTGTGAAGTAAACCAGTAT